ACAACTTCCAGATCAGCTGAGGATAAACCCAACTAAAGACTGACCACAGTTGTTGTATCGCCTGAAAAGATAACTTCTATTCTATACCCAAATTATTCATTTGAACAATGGGTCAAACATTCAAACCAACCTGTTGTATGAAATAAAAAACTGAATATTCACTCATAAATGATTTATCTCATTTAATTTAAGGGTTATTATCTAAACATATATCATCTTCTGGATGGAATAATTTGATTAATTTACATGATGTTCACCATTTTGTGGTTTATAGGAAACCTAAATTACGGTTGGTTTCTGGTTCCTGACGAGGTGACACCTCGGGTCTGCAATCTGGTACAATTATTGGGGATATAATATTGAACAATTGTCATATAAAACAGCCTTTTAAACCACTAAAAACCAACAGGATATTGGAATTTTTTGTATCCCTGTGAATTGTCTCAAGATTAAGCAACCCACTTCCACTATGTTTTGCGATACGAATCAATCATCAATCAGCAATAATCAAATAATAATCATCGTAGATCTTATTGCTTCTGCTTCAATTACAGCGACAACCAGCAGCTAATGAACTGCAGCAGCTTCATGATCACAATCTTCCGCCACTCTGTTAGTGTTTGTTGTTCAGAGGCTGTTCGCTTGTCGCTTTCACTGAACGCTCATCAACAGGTGGCGTTGATTTCCTCTGACAATAACAGCAGGAAAACAACAACAACAACTGTTAAAACACCATGTTCATTCTCACAATAATGTCTGATTAATGTAAACTTAATGTAACTCGAGTTTGACCGATTGTTTGTTTGTTTATATTCACCAACTGTACAGACAGACAGCAACCCTGTTTGTTTGTTTGTTTGTTTGTGTGGCCGTTCAGCCTCTGACTGACCTTATATCTCTCAATAAACTCCAGTTCTGTGTGTTATCTCCCTCCACTCTCTCTCCTTCTTCCTCTCGTCCTCCAAACGTCTTCATGAAGCAGCTTCGTGTATCCGGAGAACCCGCGCATGCGTCATCGCCTCAGGTGGGCAGTGATCTCTCTCACACATCCTGAACCATGTGAGTCATAAGAGACCGAAGAGGAAGAAGATGAAGAGGACAGATGTTTTACAGTGTCGTATTTTTATACAATATTGATTTTAGTCGTCAATAACTGTTTGCTGAGACACTTTATTACTCTTTCTCAGAGCTTTTGACTTTTCAGATTAGAGGGAGGATTAAACCCACAACCTCAAAATTTGACGGGAGCTGTTTCACCACTGGAGCCATTTCATCAGATACTTCAGCTTCTTCACTCAGAGCTTTTGTTCTTTTATTTGGACGTCAGCCTTCCAAATGTAAGCGGTTCAGAATCAAACCCGGGACCTGAAAAGTTCAACAGTCCTTTAACAATGTGAGATATTGAGTTGGAGACTCCTCAGTTTGGTTTCTTTCTTAGGCTATTTCATAAATATCAAGATTGAAGTTGAAGAAGTTGAGCCTTTAACTGTGTTCTTAAGAGTTTTTCACTTTATTAAACTCTACTGACGCTCACTTTTTCTTCTTTGTGAAAACCTGTCCTTGAATCCTGAGAGATGGTTTGGGTCCGTCCTTCAACACTCGGAGACATTTAGAACTTATTTCTTAGAAGTTTTTGACTCTTTGATCTGAACGGATTTTAATGAATTTGTGAACAAAATGTTTGTGCATAGAAGAAATCTTTTACTTCAACTCATTATAAATGTGAGCAAAAACAAATGTTTATATTCTTGTTGAGTGTGTTTTATTGACTCACTTCAACTCATTTATCAAATAAATGTTTCCCAGAATAAAAGTTGATCATTTATAACATTTTTAAACAGAAATAATGTGGCTACAGGCATTTGTCTCTTCTCAAACGTTTATTGAGTATATTTACAGCTGTACATTCGAACAACATGTTAGAATAGTTATTGTATTTCCAGAAATGTTTCTGGTGGAAACTGAACAAACAGCACAAAGTCATTCAGCTGGTGAAAAACTGAATTCAACAGAACTGTTGAATTCAGTTTTTCACCAGTATTTTATGCAACCAGTGTTTCCTATTGCAAGAAAACACTGATCACTGCAGTTTACAGTCAACGAGGTATTTTAACGAGGAAAAGCTCAGAAAATGTTATTTTAATATTAATATCAATATTATCTCTGGCATTACTTTATTTAAAATCTCAAGTGAAAACTTACCTAATATTTACATTTTAAAGATCATTTTCTTCAGATAATTTATTATCTCAATGTATTGAACATGATTGTCACCTGAAAGCACCTTTATTGAACCGTTACTCTGAGATATTATTACAGTTGTTCTTCTCTGCATTGAAGTAAACATAATCCCAGATTACAGTTATCACAAAATACACACAAAAGCCCTATTCGTACCATATTTCTTCCACTGCTGCGCCACGCTCAGTTCTGCTCTGTTACAGTAAAATACCTGTTTGATACTAGCAAGAAAAAGAAATACGACCCCTAAATTTGTACTTTACAAATTACAGACATGGCAGATTCACACGGGATTAAGATCACAGACAACCTTCATAATGATTACAAATGACATGAGCTCCCCTGATAATACGGCTAAAGACAGTTATCCCAAAATACAAAAAGATAAATTAGGACTCCTCATGATACTAAAATAACACCTCTATACTAAAATAACACCTCTATTTGTTTTGTCTCAATAAGAAAATATAAATATATAAATGATAAAATATAAAAACTACAGTTTATATTATCAGCAAACTTTATCATATTAAAAATAAAGATGTAAAGTGGTCATCATCATCAAGTATTGAGCACAAACACAGTATCAGTGCTCGTACTACAGTAATATTTCATTGGACATTAAGGAGTTATTCCTGATGAGCACATTACCACACTGTCGACTGGGTCACCATATTTCAAACTGCTGGTGTTCCTTAAAGAGATTTATGTCCACAATGTTGTTGCTGAAGAGTCTAGAAAAAGAGCAAACATCAGTCATTGAGCCACAATAATCTGTGTGACAGTATCCATTGAACTCATCTGAGATTGTGAATGATTCCTCTGTCAGCCTGCGAGTAATTAATGTCTGCTCACCGCACAGTGTCAATGGAGGGGTTGATGGAGACCAGTTGGAGTAACATGTGAGCTGCAGCATCAGTGATCTTATTGTGACTCAGACTGTAAACACAAAGACAGGAAGAGACACAGAGGTACATTTATGTTATTGTGGGGAGTTCTCTGTTATATAACTTCTGTTCTGAAGGTATTTACAGTGACAGCATGTTAATGCATCCACATAACTACATGGAAACTGAACACATGTATCCTGACAGCGTGACACTCACTCCAAGACTTGTACTTTGTGCAGATGTGTGATGAGTGTGAGCAGCAGCTGGTCAGTGAGCTCACAGTGACTGAGGTCCAGCTCAGTCAGCCCTTCAGAGAAGTCCAGCATCTGAGCCAAAGCTCCACAGGCCCTCTGATCCAGTGTGGTGTGACTGAGGTCCAGCTCTCCACCCAGGGCTCTACACAGAGACACTGCCCGTCTCACTGTGTCCCTCTTAGTGTTCACAGGAACCAGGGACAGCAGCTGGAGGAGGAGAGCTTTACTGGCTCTAAACAGGAGAATCAGAGCAAAGAGCAGACGGTTACGATGCATAAACATAAACATGAACGAGCTTCTTCTTTCAGTCATTTTGTGGTGTTTCCCACCTGAGACGGACTCTGTCGAGGACAGGAAACAGCAGGTCCAGTCTGCTGTCCTCCAGCTCACAGTCCTGCAGGTTGAGCTGTGTGTCCCTGCTGCTGCTGTGTCTCAGGATGGTGGAGATGGCCCTGCAGTCCTCAACAGTCAGACTGAGAGTCTTACTCTGACCCTCCTCTGGTAGATCCACACAGGAGGAGCAGGACAGATCCAGATGCTGCACAGCCCTGAGCAGGCTGACTGCTGCCCACTGCTGGGCGTCAGAGGCAGCACAGCAGTGGATGAACCTCAGCAGCAGATTCCTGTCAACACTGGTGGGAAAACATAAATATTAAATGTAATATAAATACATATGTTCATTGGTCAGTTACTGAGGTAAAAATTCACATATATTCCAAATAAAATAATATAAATTTAAGAATTTAACAACGTTGATCTTGTTGTAGTTTTGTCCTTTTCTATCAGTAATAATAACATAGAGCTCATCACATTAATAGTTAAGATCTTTGAACATGGTGACATCACTGACAATCATTCTGATTGGTCAAGAAACACAAGCGTCAGACAATCAGACAGGTTAAACAAACTAATCTTAAAGAGACAATGAAGTCAAACAGTAAAATAACCATCCATCACTTCCTGTTTCAGATTTGTTTCTACTGTACTGACTGCAGTTCTGCACATACAGTTATCAGATCAGACAGATCTCAGCTACTAACTTGGTAACCATAAAGTTATTATAACAGACAGAATGATGGACAGAACTACTAACAACCAATTTGTAATCAACCAGTATTATCTTTATATGTCTTACATATATCTCAAGGGGCTAATCCAAACTAAATAAATGTACATATATATATTTTTAAAGGCTCTCCAGGGAGAGGTGCATTATATCCTGTGTGTTGGAGAGGACTGATACAGGTACAGCACTGAGAAACAAGCACTAATGTCTGACCTGAGTTGAGAAACTTTGTCCAGTGGCCTGAAAGGATAAAGTGTAATCACCCAAGACACTTTATTCAAAGATAGAACAAACTGCTGTCAAACAAGCCACCAACAATTTAATAGCACAATGATTACAAGTCAGAATAAAGCTGGACGTCTGTATCCTGGTAAACAGGTAAAAATCAACTAGACACCTTTAAATACAATCGCTGTCCAGAAAGGGAAGCCAGACGTGTGAATGCTCTCCTGTAAGCAAGCTTCTTCCTCAGGTTCACAGTGATGGTGATCATGCTGCAGAAGACAGTGAAGAAGCTCCCAGTTTCAGACAGCAGGCAGCTCAGGCTCTCCACCAACCTTACTCAACAACAGACTGGGTCAAATCCTTTGTCCTGGAGTTTCATGGATCAGGGAGAGTAGCTGCAGGGAAATCTTCTCACTCATCTGCAAGGAAAATATGTGAATATATCCTTAATAATAAATAACTGATGAATGCATTCAGTATTCTTTACTTCATTAGTTTTGTGTTTAAGACTCAGAAAGACTTTTACTTATGATTGTTAGAGGACCATGGTGGAGCAGCAGTGGAGTGAGACCTGAGCAGGGACGTAGAACTCAGTCAGGTCTAACGTCTGACGCTCCAGTATCTCAGCAGCAGGGAGCCAAACTACTGACAACCTTCAACAATACTCGTTTCTGATGGTGGACTTTCTGAGGGGTGAGAGAAACTCTTCAATAGCCAACAGACCTGCTGCTCGCCCTCTTCTTACCCACTGAAACAGTAGCAAGGCCATGTCATTGGAGAGACTGAAAATCAAAGAGAAAGCAAAAACAAAATGAACTTCATCACTAACCTAAATTCAAACTGGACAAAGCATGGTGTTAGTAGAGACAAGCGTAATTATAGAAATGTGAACCTCAGATTGTGTAGGTTGTGTTTATGTGTGGAAGAGGAGGAGGCTCCTCTGACAGACATCTTTCTGGGTTTGAGGATCAGATCCACATCAGATCCACAGAGTCTGAGACTCTGCCCACAGACTGCAGTTCCTGTGTGTAGTCTCCTGGTTAACTGCAGGGTGAACCCAGGCTGCAGCAGGAGAGGACAACTGCATCCTCATCCTCTCTGGATCTTACAGAGATCAACTCACACACACTCGTGGAAGAACTCTGGATCGACATCTAAACAACAATATGATGGATGAAGATGAAATACTGCATTACAACCATCTATGTATAATGTCTTTATATCAAGGATTAAACTGAAAAGAAATTGTAGTCGGGTTGTTTACAGTATCTCTCTTTAGCTGTCATAATATGAAACTATAATAAAATAATAATCACTGCACTGACAAACGAACCATTAATCTTTTTCTACATTTGTCATTTGTAAATTAAATAGTCGTACCATTTTGACTAAATTCTTCTGAGTATTATCAGACTTACCTGAGCTGTGAGATATAAGGCAGACACTGTAGCGAAACCTCCTCACTTCACTCTCTTCATGTGAAGCAGTCTGTCAGCTTTATTGTTTCTCTCTGATTGGAGTTTCAGCACTTCCAGGAGGATGGAGGTGCTTTTCTTCTGAGAGTTTATGGACCAAGACTGCAGGAGCTGACTGGAGAACTGACTGTAATGATGGAAGGACACTCAACCCTGTTTTAGTCTCATAGTCCTTCAGGTGGGAGTACAGATCAACAGGAAATCACACTGAGATTTCTCATCATAGATAATCCCTTGATTAAGAGGGGAATGTTTTTTATATCTGCACACTGATGATAACAGCTCCAGTATCTTCTCCTGTCTCTGCTTTCTCTCTCTGCTGCTGCACAGAACAGATTCCCAAAGAACTCAGCTTCA